ACCCCCAAGCAAGCCCGTGACCTGGCTCGTTCGCACCTCTCTTCTGTTAAAGAGTGACACTCACCTTGAAGATGGCCAAGGCTGGTGAAGCAGCCAGCAAGGAGGGAGGGGGTGATGCTCTTCACTGGCTAGAAAGTCCCTGAGAAACATGTAACTAGAAACAGTGTAATCATTCACCTTTTATTTACCTTTTTAACCTGCATTTGAGATAACGTCAATATCACCCAAGTCATCACTAAAGTTTACAGAGGCTGCTTTTGTCAGGAAATAAAAATGATTTCTAAGCATTTTCTTTAACTGACTCAAATGATGCCGGCCAACCCAACCTCTTTTCCACTGTTAACCAAACTCATTCCACGTTTATATTCCTTTAGCCTCCCCGGTCCCCCAAACGAGCCAGGCTAACAAGTTGCTAGCTGATCAGTAGTGACCAGGAACCAAAGTTCTAGCTTCCTTTGGGCTCTAGAGCCTTTCTGGCTTGGGATCAATAGAGAAGCAACATGAATGGGCTAAATCTAGGCTCTGTGTCATCAAGGTCAGGTTCCAGAACCTCCCTGAGCCTCCGCGCCCTCTGGCGGCGGCGTAAAGAAGAGAGAGAGGGTGGGAACAATGCTTCGCTCCTACATCTCCTAGACTAGGGAAGAGAGGATGCTGGCTGCCTGTGGAGGTGAATCCGGCCTCCGCAGCCACATGCCTCATTTCTCTGACCCTAAACTGATTTTTTTTTCCCCCTACGAGTCAGAGCATGTGCTAGACATCAAGGCTACACTGAGAAGCACGTTAATAGAAAGCCTTCTTCCAAACAAAAGAGAAAGGCTTCCTGTCGTTTCTTCTGAGGTCAAGTACAATCAGCTGCACGAATCACGGTATTCCCGGGGGGCCCGTCTCACCAGCTCGAAGGATAAAAACAGCAGCAGTGTGGAGACGTCCCTTGAAAAAGAGGAAAGAAGAGAGAAAAAGAAGGAAGATCTGCTGAGAGCCACAGGGGTTTCTTCTGTTCTGTGTGCACCTCCTGCCTCTTCACCAAGGCCAGACAGGAAGGAAAAGCCTTCAGCTCAGAACTGGGAGGGGGCGGGGGCAGGCAAGCCCAGAGGTGGCGCCTCCTTAAACCTGGCACCTTCACGTCTCCTTTGCCTCAGCTCCGTCTGACCCTGCTCTTCCCCTCACATGTCCGCATGTCACCGTCTTTTGGATTTAGAACCAGCCTGTGATCACTAGGACCAGGTCACTGGCTTTAATCTCTTTGCCTCTGTGGTCAGGCCCGTCATCCAACTGTGGTGTACGGACACTGAGTGTACAGGGTTCTTCACATAACCGGGCAGTGTCTTCTGGGGCAGCTGATGTGGAATTACCTTCCCCAGCTGGCTGATGGACCCTGGGATGAAGGCAAACTGGCATTCTGTTGCTTGAGGTTTTCTCTCACTCCACGGGTGTTGTGACAATGTGTACACTAATGGCACGATGGTTTTGTACAATAATCTGGGGTTTCTAGCAGATCAGATGTTGCTGAGCCCAGTATGAGAGAGAGAGAGAGAGAGAGAGAGAGAGAGAGAGAGAGAGAGAGAGAGAGAGAGAGAGAGAGAGAGAAAAGAGAGAGAGAGCCCTCAGGACCCATGATGTCTTCTCCTCTCTCTGTGTCCAGGCACCTAACTTCACAGATAGTAGATGCCCCCCAAAATGTTTGTTCTCTGAACATAGGAATGAAGTTAAATAAATCAGAAGTTAAATGCCTGCCTTCCCGGGGCTTTGGCATTTTAGGAACTCTAAGGGCAGAGTCAGGTAGCTGGCTGTGATTAACCTAACACTGAGGCTCTTCTTCCCCCACGGCAGCCAATCTGCTTCTGGCTTTTGCTGGCATGCGCACATTCCTGCTCTGGTTTGTGAGGAGCTGTATTTCTAACTATCATTCCTGCCTCGCTTGGAATTTCACCCCTTCTAGTGCTGCCCTGGCAGGGTCACAGAGAGTGCCCGCCCCTGAAAACTCTGGCCCCGAATTTCTATTGACCTGGGTCACATTTCACAGCTGGAAATACTGAGTTCTCATCCATCCATCCTCTCCCCCCCCTACCCCCCCCCCAGCATGCATGCTTCTCACCTTCCCTCCTCCCTCTCTTCTATCAACAAGGGACTGAACCCAGGATCTTGCACATGCTAAGCAAATGCTCTATCACTGAACTCAGTGCCCGGTCTCCCTCCTTTCCTTCCCCCCTGAGAATCACATTAAGCTGACCAGGGCGGCATTTAACTCACTCTGTAGCCCAGGCTGACCTTGAATGTGTGATCCTCCTTCCTCAGCATCCCTAGTAGCTGAGACTAAGATGAACAGACTTGGGTCACCAGGCCTAGTTTAAATGGTAAACTCTGTGTTGGAATGATTCAAACATATCACCTGGTCTAATGACTCTCTGGTGACACACTGAGGCCCTGATGCCATTCCTAACTTCTGTCCTGAGGTCTGTGACATCGTTAGCTCTGCCTGCTATCCTGCTGCCACCTTAGGAATTGTGATCCTGAGACTTAGGGCCAGATTCCCTCAGCAAGCTTTACCACACTGCATTGTATTTAGTGTGAGTACAGAGCACTGCTGCCCCATAGCAACACGCGTGCTGGAGGAGCGGGGGAGAAACACGCAGAAGTCATTAAAATAACACAGGCACACAGCAGAATCACGTGTTGTCCTCACAAACATGGTTTTAAGTCTCTTTAGTAACATGGAGCAATAGTCGTTCATACAGTGCTAAATGGAAAAAAAATAAATGTCTGTCCACTCTATTTGATCTAGGAAAATGAGGTGCGTGGTTAAGAGCAATTTCTCTCTCCTCTCACTGCACCCCTGGGTGACAGACAGCCAACGGCCAGCTTCTGCTGAAAACAGTGTTACCGTTTGGTACGTTGCCACCTCGTCTTTTTTTTTTTTTCATGCAAAACCTTATTTTAATAGAATTTAGTGCTGTGCAAGTGCAGCCCTGGGCAATGCCCCCGAGTGACAGGCTGGCACCAGAGCACTGGAGGGGCTGTGACTTGGGGGGTGTCCATGGAGATGGGCACGAAGGCTGGTAGCTAGAACTCCCCGTCCTTCATATGGACAGAGCAGCCCCCCATTCCTCCGGGTTTAAAGGAGGAGGTGAGAGAAGGTCTGAAGGGCTCTCGTGGCTGGGATAGGAAGCCCCAGCAAGCTGGAGCTGACGGGAGGGCTGTCTGGCTATGGGACAAAGCAGAGACAAGGAGTCTGCTGCTCATGGGTGGAGAGTCCAGGCTAAGGATGATGCGGGTTACCAGGCAGAGGATTCCAGAACAGGCTCCTTCCTACAGAGCAAGCACAGGTGTACGTACCTTCCCACCTTTGACTCGAGGGGCACTTCTTGTAAATTATTCCTTTTCACTTCGGGCTTATGCTAACCCCAATGGGGAGTAAGCGACATACACAGGATGGATGGGTCTCTACCCAAGGGTCTGAGAACTGGGTTATGTGAAAGGGAGTAGATTAGGTTTTCAAAAAGACAGTTCCAAGTCAAAAGTTCAGTTGAGCCATGAAGGGTAAAGTTGTGGCTTCCATGCCTGAGCGTGTAACTTCTGAAGCACTCGAGTGTTTCCAAATACTCAGTAATGTCCAGATTAAGTGCTTTCAAAGAAAAGCTTAGCCCTCCCGAAGAGCTCCTATGTCATGCCCTTAAATAGGATTGGCACACAGTTAATGGGACGTTGACTCTGCCAGACGAGCAGCTAGGCTGTCTCTGAGAGTCACGACCCCTCCCCAAGAGAGCCCGGAGTTCCCATTCAGTTCTGTACATGCATGCACAGCTGGAAGAAAAATATAAAATATGAGCCTTTGCGGCCACCGTCTCTGCCCCGTCACCTCCCCCACTACCCACACCCTATCTGTCCGCTACACATTGATGCCATTAAGATTTCCTTCAGGAGTTTCTCCTCCTTCTCCTCCTCCTCCTCCTCCTCCTCCTCTTCCTCCTCCTTCTCCTTTTTTTGTATAAAGTACTTTTTTCCCCCTTGAAGCAATATTAATTCACAGGACAAATCCACCCAAACACGATGATCTTCAGTATTTGAAATGGTCTCCATGGGAAGAGGCTGCTTTGCTCTGGGTTCTTGTACGACATTCCTGGAACCTGTCACTACCCTGCCCACACTCCCTGGAGGTTGTGTCTGGGGCTGTCAAAAGCCGCAGCCACACCATCGTCCCATTGCGGCTGCAAAGAGAGCAGAGCAGACGAGCGTGTTCATAGCCGCCCTTGCCCGGAATGCTGGCGCCCAACCCAGAGCTGTGTCCAACAAGTGGCACACAGTAGGCCAGACCTCCACTGCACTGCACGTGTGCCCTGGCTGGGACCAGAGGGCCGCTGGTGCCAAACAGCCACCCAGAAGTCACAGAGCAGGGCCTGCCACGGCGGCGGTTCCCTGCAGGGCCTGGTGGCGGTGAGGTCTGCAGGACAGAGAACGAGGAAGGGAAATCCACACAGCTGTGCTGGTCATACCTCCCTGCCATATGAACTCCTTCCTTTCACCTCCATTCTTCTTCCCCAAAACACTGTCATTTCCCATGGCTCACTGTGCCTTTGTTATGTATGTGGACCTTAGTCTCCCTCTAGGATTCTTCTTGAAGGGGATCAATCGACACCATTAAAAGATTTATCAGATTGTTACATAGCGCCCTCCCCTCATGGGTGCCACGGCATACTCATATTCGGGTAGACGACCCTCTCTATGCTGTCACGCCGGCTGCCCTCTGGGCTGGCCATGTCCATTTCACCCTCAGCTGCCTCCTCTCTCTGCTGTTCGAACTGTGTTCCAAGCAGACTTTGGAACATCTTCCCCCACGGCAGCATTGACTTTGGCAGATTTTACTGGGGATGTCTGATGTCCTAACCTATTTGCTTTTCCAGAGCTCGTATTTGCAGGGATTGTTTGGAACCAGAACAAAATTCATCCCACGCCCTTATGCAATTCCTTTGGCAGGCTCTATCAGATAAATAAAGCCCTCTGGCCCTCCGTTGGTCTAGCTCTCCAAGCTGATCGTCTGGGCTAGTCCTCACATCGGCCCATCTTCTACTGCCTCTCTGGAGCAGCCATGAAGTCCCTGGTCCTGCTCCTTTGTCTTACTCAGCTCTGGGGCTGCCAATCAGCTCCAGGGCTGGGTTTCAGAGAATTGGCTTGTGATGACCCAGAAGTAGATCACGTAGCTTTGATGGCCGTGGACTACCTCAATAAACATCTGCTTTATGGATTCAGGCACGCCTTGAATCAGGTTGACAAAGTCAAGGTGTTTCTTCGGGTAAGTGAGCCTGCCATGACTGAACTGAAAGAATCTATGTTTGGGGCACAACCCAGTGCCTCAGAGGCTAGCATCTCCCAGTGTAGATGAAACTGCGGCGGAGACTGGTCTCTTCCCAGAAACAGGACAGGGAAAGAGGGGAACAGGAGAAGCCACATCAGTACTGTGAGAGTACCACATCTCACAGACGATGCTCCATGTAGGAAGCAGGAAGAACTCTGAAGGATAGTTCACAGACCACAGCTGGAAGGCAGGACTTGCTGGGAAAACTTGGGCTCCTCTCTGCCGATTTGAAAATCACTTCTCTTTTTTGGCTTCTGTGTGTCTCTGATGAAAATGGAAAGCGGCGGCGTTTGACCAGCCCCCATGTGCGACAGCCCGGTAGCACAGATCGTGTCATGAAGCCCTCCCTTTCCCCGTTGCAGCCCTGCATGGCAACCATGCAGTTGTCCAGCAGATGGCAGATGCAGTGGGCACTCCCAGGTGGAAACCACAAACTCTCCATAGGTGGCTGCTTTTGACATGCACCGTGGGGAATTCCATATGGTTCAGCTTAGCGTAAAGATGGGAAGGACATGTTTGTGTCACAAGAGACTTGTGATTTAGGAGGGAAAGGAAAACAGACATCAGGAGGCCCAGACTGAGGGATGATAGCCGTTATTATAAAGGGACGGCTGATTGGAGACCAGGCTTTTCCTGGGTGCATTTTAACGGCACGGCAGCAGAAAGGCGTAATGACCAGCTCTGTGCAGATGAACACGAAGTATACGTGTCAGCGGGGAAAGCCACGAAAGAGCATTGTGCACCAAGTGCAGAGATTGGGGGCTGCTTTCCTTAGGACTCCCAGGTGGAGCGGGAAGCAGGGAGTCGTTTGGGACACCCCTGCACTAAAACTCAGTGCTCCTTCTCATGGCAGCACTGAGGTCTCAGGCAGAGCTGAAAGGAGAGGTAAACTGAGCCGGATTGAGACTCTTCCAAACTTTGGGACGGTTCAAGATGTGAAAAAAGGGATACATGACCCGGTAGAGTAACTGAACAACCTCACAGGGTCCTGCAAGACTCCAAGATTGCTTCCATACCAGTGATGACAGTTTCCCAGCCTCAGAATGGACAGGCAGGAAGCAGGAACGCGCTGTGCACCCAAGGCCGGATGAGCTAGACCATAGGAAAAGCCACGAGAATCCTCTAAGGAAAGGAAAACTGAAAGGAGAGGAGGGATGTGGGCAACTAGAGAGAGTGAAGCGGAGCGAGGGGTAGAAAAGACAGAGCAAGACACTGAACTGCTCACAATGAAGAGTAGCCCTCAGTGTCACTTCTGCTTTGCTAAAGAGAGCTCAGAATAAGGACTGTGGCTCGCACAGCCAGCCACACCCTCCACCCTCCTTTCTCCGTTTCACGCCTGCCCCATCTATAGTGAAAGATGAAAACCAAAAGCCAGTGTGGAGAGAGAGGAGGTTGGGACCGGTGGGGCCTCTTCTCACTTCTCCCAAAAGTTCACCCTCACCCAAGTTCCACCAGGGCTTCATGCCAGCGGACACATTGGATGGGCTGGCGCTTGCTCACCTCCTCCTCCCCTCCCCACAGCGGCCCTTCGGAGAGGTGTATGAGTTGGAAGTAGACACTCTGGAGACCACCTGCCATGTTCTGGACCCCACTCCCCTGGCCAACTGTTCTGTGAGGCAGGTGGCCGAGCATGTGAGTACCAGTTAATGGGTGCTACCTTATGGTGGGTGGGTGGAGCCTGGCCACCGTGGTTCAACAGAGAACAGTTGCCTTAGCCAACTCAAGGCAGCCATCTTGGCTAGCCAGGGCACAATTTCGAAAACTGCTATTGGATGGCGCCTTCCAGTAGGCCGATTTTCACAACACTTGAGCTTTCTCCTTGAAGCCCTCCCTGAAGGCAAATTATAATTGTAAGGACTGTGAAGATGACCTTGGGGGGATACCTCCCACAGCCCTGCCAGGATGCTCCCCAGCTCTGCACCATGATGCAGTGCTCCTGGGCTTCAGCATGGGTTTCTTTTCCAGGCGGTGGAGGGAGACTGTGACTTCCACATTCTGAAACAAGATGGCCAGTTCTCTGTGTTACACGCAAAGTGCCATTCCACTCCAGGTCAGATGGTTCTTCTACTTATTTTTATCTTGTAGCAGGAGGAAGGAATCAGTAATTTTGAACTCAAATAGTTCTCACTTCATTGGCAAGGAATTCGGGGTATTGGGGTTCTAACACATTTTTTTAAAGGAGCTTGTTCCCATGGGTGAACATTGTCCCTTATGGCTATGACTTGGTGAAGCTTCATACAGCTGCTTGAAGGTTTAGAGAAAAGGCATGTTACGGTTGGAGCGTGCAGAGCCCTTTCTAAATAAGCAAACGGTGTTGAGTACCTTGGAGAACTGCAGTTAAGACCCCATTCATCTTTCTGCCCAGACTCTGCAGAGGACGTGCGTAAGATATGCCCACAGTGCCCACTCCTGGCTTCACGCAATGACAGCAATGTGGTGCATGCCGTCAATGTTGCCATGGATGCCTTCAATGCACAGAATAACGGAACCTATTTCAAACTGGTGGAGATTTCCCGCGCTCAAAACGTGGTAAAATATCTAAGACTCTTTTGGTAGATTTGGGCAGTTTGGTGGCCCTTGGGGAATGTTTGGGGATGACAAGCAGAAGACAAGGGGATATTGGTTGAAAGGCTGGCAAGGGGGCTCCTGGGACTGTGAGGAACCCCAAACGCTCAGCAACACTGTCCCGAGCTGAGCCACTTCAATATATCAGCCATAAGGAGCAGCTAGGCAGGAACCTGGCACCCCTGCTTCTACTCACCCCACTACGTGAGGACTCTCTGTTCACACACAGTACATTCACTGGACGCCAGCCAATCACCACGCCACCACCACATCCACAGCAGTCTGGAAATCAATACTTACAAAGGTCTGGGGCTACTCAGACTGACAGGCAGCTAATGGAAGTTTCCTGATCTGGACATCAAGTCCAGCGATGTCGGGGTTGAGAGGGACCCATCTAATTGTACAACACAAGTTTAACTGTTTGCCTGCAGCAGAACTGTGATGTTTTAGAAAGCTGGCAATCTGGAAGTAAGCCAGGACATAATTGCAAATACATTAATACAGGTGGCAAATCTGTAATTCCTGGAAAATACCCATCCCATACTACACCCACTAACAGACGCGCTGTGCTGGCGAGGCTCCAAGCCTTGTGAGGAAGGACGCAATAAGTCATGACTCCCATTCTCTCACCCGGTTGTTTCTCACTCAATCCTGGTGTATGAAACCGGTGTGGGGCCATCTCTTCTCTTCTCCCTTCGGCCGAGAATGGCCCAAACATCGGGTTCCAATGGTTGAGGGCCAAGGAGATGCTGGGTTCCCATCCCTGCCCATCTAGAGTTGGCCTTTTGACTTCCTGTTTCCTCTCTGAAAACTTCCCTCTCCCCTGAGTGATGGACAATGAACACTTTCCAATCCTTCGAGAAGACTCAGCTCCTACCTCCACAGCCCAAACTATTCAGAACACAGTCCCCTCAGCTGCCCAGGGCCACACACATGGCCTGTGGGATGTGTGTTCTCTCAGGTGTGCCAGAGTATGGCCTTCCCTCCTTCCCCTCTCTCCCCCCTCCCTCCCTTCTCTCCGACTTCTTGCTCCTCTCAAATCCAGCTCATCTTGCCTCACGTGTGTTTTCCTTTTTCTTCTCAGCCTCTCCCAATTTCTACTTTTGTGGAGTTTGTGGTAGCCGCTACTGATTGCGCTGCTCAAGAGGTCACAGATCCAGCCAAATGCAACCTGCTGGCAGAAAAGGTGAGTGGCCCAGACCCTGGGGTTCTTGTCACCAGGCAGACCTGGTTGTGTGGAACAAACATCTCTTTCTAGTTCACTTCTTGGGACTGAAGGAAGAAAGTGTGGGTGGGGGAGGGGAGTGTGAAATGCTCACTTGGGAACCTGGAGAAATGGCTCAGCAGTTAAGGGCACATACTACTGTTCATCCAGAGGACCCAAGGTCAATTCCCAGCACCCATGTCAGGCGGCTCACTTTTAACTCCAGTTTTGACACTTCTAACCTTTGCAGGCACCTGCACACACACACATGCACACACACACACACACACACACACACATACACATAATTAAAAATAATAAAATTAAATCTTAATTTTTTTAACATCTCCACTTACCCACTTGCTGTGGGGCTGGGCCATGCCAGATCTTTCTCTGGTGCCCCACCTTCCCCTTCACGTGTAGTCACCAAACTATCTCACCTCTGAGAAGTGCATGAAGTAAGGGGAAAGACAGCGGTCAGTTCCTGAAGCAGTCTGGGTGCGTGGCTGCTGGGAGCACGTGAAGTAGATTTCCCAAATGAGCCTCTGAAACTTGAAAGCACGGAGTCTTTGAGCCAGTCCCATCCATGTGTGGAGATTTAGCTTCAAGAGGGCGTCAGAGGTGTTGGACTGAGAAACACTTGTAAAGATGATGCACCATCCATAACTCATGGCGGAACACAGTGGAGGGATCCCAGTGTTCAAGGAGAGTGAGTCACTGAGCAATGTGTGGCACAGGAGCGAACAGAAAATTGTGCGGGATAATGACGGATGTGAGAAAAGCATCTCTAGAGTAACTGGAAGACACAGGGCACCAAAGTCATATTCACGGTGACCTCAAGTCGCAGTTTAAGTTGTATTTAGCAGAACTTATTTAGGATTAAAAAACCCACACCTGTGTTAGCATTAGCTCTCCCTACGCCAGCACCGTCTCAGGGATGACAGGCAAGTGCTCTCCCTCTCACGGCGTTTCTGTACATTCAATGCTATTTGGAGAACTGTGTGCCATATGTTTTATAAGCAAAAAACCAAAAGTTTCATTTGAAGCAAAGTTAGGGTTTACTAAGTGAGATGTAAGTTTTTTTAAAAAAAGAAAGCGATATCTTAGATTTAAGTGGATATGTGTCTGGAGAGAGGTGGGGGGTAGGACTGACTTTCATTACCTAGGACATGGGTGTGGCTTCTCAAGAGAGAGTTGCCCAGAAATTATAATCTTAAAAGGGGTAAATTCAAAAGAAAGGAGTTAGAAATTTAAGTTTCTTTGCTTCGATATGTTATACTACAGTTAAAACTGGGGGAGAAGCACTTTTGTATCGTTTAAAATGATGCTTTTCTTTCTGGGAACAGCAATACGGTTTCTGCAAGGCGAGTGTTGTCCAGAAGCTTGGTGGGGAAGAGGTCTCAGTGGCCTGCAGAATCTTCCAGAAACAGGTAACTCCGTGGATCGTCTTCAGAACAGTGACCCCTTCGCACCTCTGCAACGGATCAGTAATAATGGGACACCGGGCCGTCTTGTCCTAAGCCTCAAAGTGGGATGTAACACTACCGTGTGTGAACTCACCCACTGGGTGAAGGAGTTTCAGGCCTGCCTTTCTTCCCCTCCCATTCACGGGGGGGGGGGGGGGATATGGGGAGTCGGGGGTGGGAACAGTCCTCATGTAGAGTTGGCAAAGCCGCCTTGTTATTTGCAAAAGATGGAAGTGCTTTTCCTAGTTACAGAGACCAAGTGGGCTGCTCTGCCTGGCAGCTCGGAGGTACTCCTGGCAAAGGGGGAAGGCTCTCTGTGGGTGGGGTGCTTGTACATGGGACTGTGTTTGTGGAGGTAGTACTGCGGCCCCACGGGCCAGTCACCCCTTCCTGCGAGGGTCCTTAGTATTTTACCAGTTCTTCTAAACCACATTCTTCCCAACAATGTTTCCCTAACAATCATTACTGTGAAGGAATGGAGAGGGGCCGGGCAGTGGTGGCGCACGCCTTTAATCCCAGCACTCGGGAGGCAGAGCCAGGCGGATCTCTGTGAGTTCGAGGCCAGCCTGGTCTACAGAGCGAGATCCAGGAAAGGCACCAAAACTACACAGAGAAACCCTGTGTTGAAGAAAGAAAGAAAGAAAGAAAGAAAGAAAGAAAGAAAGAAAGAAAGAAAGAAAGAAAGAAAGAAAGAAAGAAAGAAAGAAAGAAAGAAAGAAAGAAAGAAAGAAAGAAAGAAAGAAAGAGAGAAGGGGTGCAACCCAGACTCATAGACAGCCCTCTCTGGGAGGAAGCAACAATCTTACCTAAGAAAATGGTCCTCTCTCTCCCTGTGCCCCTACAGCCCCAGCCAGCCAGTGTTGCCGCCGAAGCAGGCCCTGCACCTGCAGCCCCACCAGCTGGCCCACCCTCGTCTTTGGTGGTCGGACCCATGATGGTGGCAGCCCCTCCAGCCCACGGAACCCACCATGACCTGCGCCATGCCTTCTCACCTGTGGCCTCAGTGGAGTCAGCCTCAGGAGAAGTTGTTGGCCCACCTAAGGTGGTCCAGCCTAGCATTGTGGGTGCTGCCGGTCCAGCGGTCCAGCTGTGCCCAGGCAGGGTGAGACACTTCAAGATCTAGGCTAGACTCAGTGAAGTAAGGTGTTGGCAGAGAGGACACGGCCGCCATTTTGTCCAAGACTGGACCCAAAGCTGGCGAGCTTGTCCGCTGACAGAACAGGTGCCGTCTAACAGCTTGAATTCCAGCTTTCTTCATCCCTCAGAGGACAGGGGCAGAGAAGGGATGGCCGGCAGCAGCACGGCCACCTATGTGACGACAAACTGCCGCCGTCGTTTCTCTGCCTTCTCGCTGACCTCATAAAAAAAACGGTTGCAACCGTGACGTTGAAAGGTGCTCTTGCCAATCTTATATCTACCCATAAATAAAAGTGCCTGAAGGACCTTTCTTAAATAAGAAGGTTCTGAGCCAAAATGTGGTCACGGTCATTGTCTGCCTCCTTCCAGTCTCCTTATGTGTGTGGCCTGTCAGTCCAACAAGTGTACGGATGCCACTCTACCAAGTCTACGTTGGAATAGAAGCAGAGACGCAGGAGAAAAATCTACTGGGTTGCCATAATCAGCAAAGTATGAGACCAAGATGTGCTTGAAGCCCATAGGCAATGAGAAAACAATTCTGTTAACTGACGGAGGACTGAAAACATTCTCAAAGGAGGTCCCAGTGCCTTTGTAAAAACAAAGTTGGCTTTTCTCAACTCTAGGGGAAAGAGGGACTGGTAATTAACACACGGTTCTCACTCTCATTGGATTGGTTCATTATGCATGTTGAAGGTCCCTATTGATTGAGGTGGTGATCATTGTGTGAGCCCAGTAACCTGACCCCAACCCCCAGAAACCACAGGAAGCCGGAAAGAGATCCGCCTCCACAAAGACTGTGTGGACTGTGTGCGCTTCATTGTATGATGGGGGCAGGGGTTGGTCTTTCTAGTTCACCCACTTTAAAACCAGAATAAAAGGTCTGCTGTCAGAACAGTTAAACAGGTACAGAAGGGGAGTCTGGGAAGATGACCTGTAAATGTCTGTGGACGTTCTTAGGCACCAGATGGCATGATGGGCTAAGTCATTCCTCATGCAGGGGGAGTCCTAAGCGGCGTCAGTTTTTATTTGTCATAAGTCATTCTGCTACCTCACTCTTGGGCCTTTCCAGATAGAGTTTTAATACAGTAAGGCCAGTTGAGTGGCCACACTGAACCAGGAAGACCGGGTCAGCCATTGCTACGCTCCGTGTCACCTGCCTCAAAGTTTTGTCAACATGACAGAGAAAGAAGGACTGTCCAGATAAGCAAGAAAATCACAGGGCTGACAGCATGCAGATATAAAGAAGAGGGCATGGGCAGCTGTGCCGGGTGCTACAGGGAGAGCAGAGGGCATAAAGACTGAGCGGTTACAGTCACCATTGGCTGGTGTGGTTGCACTAGGAGGGGTAACCTGAATGTCCAAGGTTGCCCAATGGGACATGATGAGGAACTAGAGGGCAGACGAGGTTCCCTCTGTCAAGCAGATTATGAGGGGTACAAGAGACCAAGTATCACCTAAAAGGGTAAGCAATGGGAAGAAAGGTTTCTCATCTAAGAAAAATGGTTCCGAGTGCCATTAGGGAAACAGTGGAAGAAGTCAGGAAGTGAACAGTGATGATGGGTGTTAGCAGGTAAGAATTCTAGTCTTTGAGGAAGCTTGCCAGGGGTTCCAAGGCGACACTTCTCACACAGGACTGCAGAAGATTTATCCACTTTCCGCTCTCGCTACACATAGGAATGGCTGTGAGAGAGAAGGTTGTGGATGAGAGGTTCCCCAGGGCAGGTGGCAAGTGTGCAACCCGAATTAAGTAAAAAGGAGAATGCTATTCATTGAGCTGGTCTTTGCTAAGAAACAGCTGGGTCCAGGAGTCCAAAGGATGTCATCAGGTTCTTCCCTACTTATTCCCCATATCTCCCCTCTCTCCCTGCCTCCACCCCCTTCAATGCAGTCACCAACAGCCTTGCATCTACCCCCCCCTCCTGGATGGAAGACCAGCCAAGACATCCAAGGATGGAGAGTTCTGGGCCGGAAGAGCAGGCCCCGGGGCTCTGCAGCTGCCGTAGATTGGTGTGGTTAAGAACAGAGACAGGATGAGCTGAAGAAGAGGGACGAAAGACTGGAGGGGACAAGAGCCAGGCCATGAGCAGCCCTGCCACCCCCAGAAGGAATTGGGGTGTTAGTCCAGTTGAAAACACTAATGGTTTCAGACGGAGGTGGGTGATGTCGTCGACTTTGCATTAAAAAATTGGGGGGTGGGGGTATCTGGAGAGATAGTTCAGAAGTTAGGGGCATTTGCTGTTCTCGCAAAGGACCTGGGTTCAGTCTCCAGCACTGGTCTGCCACTCCAGTTCCAAGAGATCCAACGCCCTCTTCTGGCTTCTGTGGGTAGGAAGCACACATGTGGTATTAATGCCTATATGCAGAAAAACCCCTACACATACAATACAAATACACTTAAAATATAAAATCACTTATACACCAGGCCTCTCAGCCTGGGGATGGGATGGAGTACGGTGAAGCAGAATCACCCCACACCCTCTGAGACTCATACAGAAGTGGGGGCATTTTCTTGGGAGGCCATTGCCGTTTGGAGGTCAGGTGCCAAGCATTCCCAAAACGTGCAGAACAACCCTGACAATGATTAATCGATGTCTCGTCATTAACCGAGTGCCAATGGCCCCTACAAAGCTGCTTGATGGAAAGTACATTGAAGCCACAGGACTACAGCCTTGGTGGGCGGCAGACATGATACAAATATGGAGGTCGAAGGCCCCCAGATCCTGCTGTTGGACTTGATGTGGCAGTATGAAAAAACAACAAGGTCTGGAACTGTGTCTTTGCAAATTGGGCTGGGTAGGGAGACCTATGGCCAGGGTAGGGAACGTGGTTCATTCCACTTGACTCAGTTCGAATTCTCTCTCCTCGAAGTTTTACTGTCTAGCTGACCCGTATAATTACCTCATGAATTTCAAGGAGGTGTTAGAGCCAGATGGACCTCAGGAACTGGGCCACACAGCTCACCTTCCTTCTCTTTGGGCCCTCACGTGGACAGGTGCACCAGAGCGTGAAGATGAGGGGATGCTATGAATGCACACATGGTACTTCCTGACGCCGCTGGGTTTGCAGACCATAAACGCTCTCTCTCCCCCTCCCCCTCTCTCCCTCCCGCTTTCTCGCCTTTCTCTTTCTTTGCTTAGAATTTGGTGGTTTCAGAAGGCTGAGTTCTTGACTTCCTCTAAATCTATGCTGTCCATCTGGCAAGTGCGTCCTCTCTCATGACTATTAGTCAGACACAGATAAATTTCACTGTTTTGCTCCAGCTCAGATGTCTTCCTGAACCCAGCATGGCACCTCCAGTGCCTCCGGGATTTCCTCACTTGAATCTACCAAGAAAGGCTTCCATTATTCTCTGTAAATAATGCTAGCTGGAGTCCTAGCATTGTTGAAAATGTATGTTGTTTTAGTATAACTTCGTCCCAGTTACAAACCCATAGTAGGGGATGAGTTAGGAAACTACGGAACCACTTCTCTCACAGTGTCCTTGCATAGAGAAGCGGCCCCGCACTTTCTATATGCTGGTTTTTTTTGTTTTGTTTTGTTTTTGTTTTTGTTTTTTTCTTCGAGACAGGGTTTCTCTGTGTAGCTTTGCGCCTTTCCTGGATCTCACTCTGTAGACCAGGCTGGCCTTGAACTCACAAAGATCCACCTGGCTCTGTCTCCCGAGTGCTGGAATTAAAGGCGTGCACTACCACCTCCCGGCTATATGCTGTTGTTAGGGGGCACTATTTAGCCTAGGCTGACCCGAGACTCATGAGGAAGCTCAGCCTGGATTCAAATTCTCCATCCTCCTGCCCCAGCCTCCCAAGTACTGGCCTTATAGGCATGTGTGACCCACTGAGTTTATATTTTCTTAACATCATCTCTAGTATTTTGCAGAATGCTCCTTCCTAAATTAAAGTGTTACATATAGCCCATTCACTTGCCTTCCTAGTGGCCTTGTAGTCATGACTGTTTTCCACTGGGTTTCAGGTGTATTTCTAAGTGCCTGTGCCACCACGGCCAATCACCTACACTGACAGATCTGTCACAGTTTGCTTTCCATTCATGTGATAAAATACTATGCCCTGCCGGGCGGTGGTGGCGCACACCTTTAATCCCAGCACTCAGGAGGCAGAGGCAGGCAGGCCACAGGCCACTTGGTCTCTACCTCAGCTGTTCAGCTGAGTCCTGTGGAGATAGAGGCAGCTTGGACAGGGTATAATCAATGTGTGGCTGGTTCCAACTAGATTTGTGTTTGAAAAAAAAAAAAATTAGCACAGAGCTGAAGCTGGCCTTTGGGTGCTTTTTCAAAAATGGCCCCAAATCATAGAAAAGGGGAAATGGGGTCAGGAGAAAGATGGGTAGTCAAAGGCTGGGGCAGTCTCCTGTGAAGCTGGGTGCTCGCTTCAGGAGTCCAGACAGTCAAACAAGGCAAAGGCTAGGGTGTGCTAAGTGGGGTGCTAAGTGCACATGAATAAAGACAGTGTGGAGTTGAGGGCAGGTCTACAGGCTAAGTGCTAAGGGCCGTCAACAGCGAGGGAGAGATCAGAGGGTCAGAAGCGGCAGTGAATAGAAAAAGGAAGCCGAGTCCACCAGAGACAAGAGGTTCCTACTTCCTCTAAATCAGTCATTCCCAACCTTCCTAGTGCTGTGACCCTTCAAGACAGTTCCTCATGTGGTGGTGTGAAGCGTTTATCTAATTATTCTTTATCCATAAAAACTTGGGGCTCGCCAGGTGGTGGTGCACACCTTTAATCCCAGCACTCGGGAGGCAGAGCCAGGCGGATCTCTGTGAGTTCGAGACCAGCCTGGTCTACAGAGTGAGTTCCAGGAAAGGCACAAAGCTACACAGAGACACCCTGTCTCGAAAAAACAAACAAACAAACAAAACCTCGGGACTCAGATATCAGGATAAGAACCTGAGAAGTGGCAGAGAAGTGACCAGTGACCTCCCCTCTCTTTCCTTCCTCAATCCAAAAGGGCCAAGCAGCTCTCTAAGCCCCTCCCTACTACTTCCTGTGTCTCTCTATATGTCCTGGGTCTTCCAAAACCTCTATGACTAATTTAGTCAGCTAGTAGCTAGGTCTGCCCTCCGATTCAAGGTAAATTTTATTGGTAGTCTCAGGAGTATCAGAGTGCAATCAAAATATCCCATAACAGTGGTGACCCCCAACGGTGAAATCATTTTCGTTGCTATTTCATAACTGTAATTTTGCTACTGCTATGAATCATAACATAAGTATCTGTGCTTTCTGACAGTCTGAGGTGACCTCTGTCAAAGGGTCATTTGACCCTCAAAGGGATCGTGACCCACAGGTTGGGAACTGCAGCTCTAAATAGATGACACTGTCTGCATTA